AAAATTAGCTTGGCATGGTGGCAGGTATCTGTAATCTCAGCTACTCAGGAGGCTGAGGCAGGAGAATCACTTGAACCCAGGAAGCTGAGGCTGCAGTGGGCCAAGAGATTGCACCAATCTACTCCAGCCTGGGTGACAGAGTGAGACTCTGTCTCAAAAAAAAAAAAAAAAAAAGTTCTTTGAGGGCAAAGGTCATGGTCTAGACTGCATTCTATTTCTCCTTGTATTTAACTACCTCTCTGGTTGTGCACAGCAAGTGTCAAATATGTATTTCATGACTGCTTTAGAGCATAAAAAGAAAAACTTCCACAAGTTTAGATGCCTGAAGAAGAGAGCTAGCATTACAAAGATGTATCCACTGACAGTCCCCTGCAGCAGGTATAAACCCAAAGAATCTGTCACTTGACACCAAGGCCAAGAGCAGAATCTTGCCTTACTTGATGACTTGAGATCTAACATGTAGCCCAATAAGATAAAAGCCTTTTTTTTCCTCCATATTTTCTCTGGGCCAGGATTGCTTGAGGCCAGTAGTTTGAGCCGAGCCTGGCCAACGTGGCAAAACCCTGTCTCTACTTAAAAATACAAAAAAATTAGGCAGGCGTGGTGGTGCAGGCCTGTGATCCCAGCTTCTTGGAAGGCTGAGGCACGAGAACTCCTTGAACCTGGGAGGAAGAGGTTGCAGTGAGTTGATATCATGCCACTGACCTCCAGCCTGGGCGACAGAGCAAGACTCTGTCTCAAAAAAAGACAAAAATTTATTTTCTCTGAAGAGTACTGAGATAAAAATTTGGATCCCCAAATCCTTTCCTTGGCAATCCATGAAAATGTATCTTAAACAAACCTGCTCTTCTTCCTCTGTCTTTTCTGGAGCAGCTGTCACTGACCCTGATGAAACATCCCTCCTTGGAGAAGACATGTCCTCTTCCCTGACCCTCAGTCCCTCTCTGGTATTATGGGGCATCTTGTATGTGTCAGCGTGACTGACTGTCTTCAAGGTGCTCTTAAATTCCTCACTCTATTCCATGCAATCTTCCTAACTTAAGTGTACAGGCCAAAAAGTTCACCTCAATCCATACCTCACACATCATATTTGGAAATGAACTCAAAATGGAGCAGAGACCCAAATGTATAAAAATTATAAAACTTTCAGGAGAAAGCTGTCATGATGTTGGGTTATGCAAACATTTCTTATTTGCAACACAAAAACATGCATGCTTCATAAAAGAAAATGTATAAATTGCATGTTATTAAAATTAAGAATTTCTGGCCAGGTGTGGTGGCTCACACCTGTAATCCTAGTACTTTGGGAGTCTGAAGTAAGTGGATCACTTGAGCCTAGGAGTTTGATACCAGCCTGGGCAACATGACGAAACCCTGTCTCCACAAAAATACAAAAGTTAGCTAGGTATGGTTGTACATGCCTGTAGTCTCAGCTACTTGGGAGGTTGAGGTAGGAGGGTCGATTCAGACCAGAAGTTCAAGGATGCAGTGAGCTATGATTGCACCACTGCATTATAGCCTGGGTGACAGAGTGAGACCCTGTCTAAAAAAAAATCCCCCAAAACAAAAAAAAAAACAAATAAGACATAAGGTGGCAAGTAAGCATGTGGAAAGATGCTCAAAAATTAGTTATTAGGCAACAGCAAAATTAAAAATATAAAACAGTACTACACACCTTTTGAATATCTAGAGGCTGACCACATGGTCTTGGCAAGGATTTGAAGGACTGGAATTCTCCTTCACTGCTGGTGGTAAAGTGACAGGGTAGAGCGAGTCTGGAAGACAGTTGGGCAGCTTCTGAAAATGTTCGACCTACCACATGATTCAGCTAGTCCACTTTTCAGATGTCCATATGCATATGCAATGGACTGAATATTCCTGTTCCCCCAAATTCTTATATTGAAATTCTAACCCCCAATATGATAATATAGGGAGGTGGGGTTCTTTGGGAATTAACGAGGTCATGAGGGTAGCACACTAATCCCATAAACTGGATTAGTGTGCTTTCAAAGGGGACCCTAAACAGCTCTCTCATTCTCTTTATTTCTACCATGTGAAGACACAAGACAGTAGTCTGCAACCTGGACGATGCCCTAACAAGAATCCCACCGTGCTAGCATCCTGATCTGTTTTCTAGCTTCTAGTCCTGTGAGAAATAAATTTTTTTTTTTTTTTTTTTTTTTGAGACAGAGTCTTGCTGTCACCCAGGCTAGAGTACAATGGTGCGATCTCAGCTCACTACAACCTCTGCCTCCCAGGTCCAAGCGATTCTCCTGCCTCAGCCTCCTGAGTAGCTGGGATAAGGTACATACCACAATGCCCAGCTAATTTTTTTTTTTTTTGTAGAGACAGGGTTTTGCCATGTTGGCCAGGTTGGTCTTTAACTCCTGACCTCAGGTGATCCGCCTGTCTCAGCCTCCCAAGTGCTGGGATCACAGGCGTGAGCCACTGTGCCTGGCCTCAAATTTCTGTTGTTTATAAGCAACTCAGGCTTTGGTGCTTTGTTACAGTAGCCCGAACTGACTAAGACACCATACAAACACCTGCATGTGAATGTACATAGGAGTTTTACTTACAATAAGCAATAATTGGAAACAACCCAAATGTCTATCAACAGCTGAATGGCTTACTAACTGTGGTATACCCAAAAAATGGACTTACACTCAGGAAAAAAAGGAAATGAGCAGTGAGCTACAGTTACACACAATGACATGAATGAATCTCAATGTGCTAAGTGAAAAAAGCCAGAACTCCCCTAAAATTGTACAGATGATTATATTTGTATAAAATTATAACAAATACAAACAATATATAGCAACAGCAGATCAGTGGGTATGCGGGGATGGGGGATGTTGGGGAGAAGCAGGATGACGGGAGTACAAAGGGGCACAAGGAAATTTTCATGGTAACAGTATGTCTATCATGTGATGATAGTTTTCACAGGTGAATATATGTGACATATATGTGTATGTCAAAAGTTATCAAATTTTAAGCTTTAAATATAAATAATTTATTATATAATATAATAAATTGAGCTATACCTCAATACAACTATTAAAAAAAAAAAAAAAAAAGGAAATCGAGGGCCCCAAACACATTTAGGTACCACACAGGCTCTCTCTGTTTTAGACCTTTTTAACTGAATGGAGTACAGGTGTAAACCATGGCAGCACTGGATACAGTCCAGGCACAGTTCAAGGGACCCCAGTGAAAAGCTGAGGTCTGAGGAAGATATCCTGGGTGGACACTAACTGGCAGATTGGTCATCTTGTGTGTTCCAGACATAAGCTAAATCTTTGGTGATTCACTAGAAAGTCCTGCAGCTGCAAACACACCTGGGTTACATCATGTAGCATTCTTCACCACATCACCACTTGTTCTCACCCTCATATTGCCTTACCTACCCTGATTCATTCTCATTTTTGAGGCAACATTAAAAAAGCATCATAAGGTTCTGTCAGGTCAGTGTCACATTATTAGCTTCTCTAATTAAGTAAGAGATAACAGTCTCTGTAACAGACTGGATTTTCCAAAAAGGATCACAGAAGTATTTCTGGCCCCACATCCTCTTCAGAAGCCTGCTATGCCCCATCAAGAGGTGGTGCCTATTTCCCTTCTCTTTGTAACTGCCTTGACAGAGTACGGTAGAAGAGTCACTGCATGACTTCCAAGACTGTGTCATAAAAGGTGGGGTGGCTTATGCCTGTCTCTCAAGACACTTGTCCTTGGAATGTGGCCACCACATTTTGAGGAAGCTCAGGCCAACTACAGGAGAGGCTACACAGAGGTTCTCTGGCCACAGCTCTAGTGAAAGTCTCTGCCAACAGTCACCATCAACCACCAGACCTGTGAGGGAGGGAGCCATCAGCTAGTGCCAGCCCTCCAGTGGCACTAAACTGAGTGGAGCGGAGATGAGATGAGATATCCCAAATAAGCCGCACCCAAACTGTAGACTCAGGATGTAAGTAGAGGTCATTATGTTAAGCCATTAAGTTTTGGGTGGTGTTTACAGATAACCAGCCTCCTTTATATTGAATGTAAAGAGTGTATTCAGAAAGGAAACTAGTTTCTCCCTCGCCCTACATTGTCTAATGGCTAATTATCCTTCCCATAATCATTTATCGTGAGGCAGCAACAGGACATCTTTACAAATAACCTGCTTCTACAAATGTAGAGGTCACCATAAATTGCCAGAATGACCTCAGGCTAAACTCATTTGTGAAAATCCAGAGCAATCATGTATCTAATGAAATCAACCTGTTGAACTCCAACTTGTCTGTGGAGGCCACATCCTTATGTCATCCCATCCAAAGTCAATGAAGCACAAGAAAACTATGATTTTTCATGATGCAAGGAAGTTGAGAACTGTGCCTGTTATTTGAGATGATATATAAAGATTACTTGACCCAGAGAATTTAATGATTCTGCTTTTAGCAAAATAATTAAGCAGCTCTTGAAAAATGTTACTTATCTGATTTCTTTTTCTCAGCATTACTCATAATAAAAATATCTACTTATTGGAAACTTACTGAAGAGTCTGGGATCCTGCGATGGAGGCTGGATAACTCACTGGAAAGAGCCTGGGGCTGGGAGCTTAGAGATCCAATTGTATGGTCTTAGGAAAGCATGGCACCTCTCTGCTTTGCAGATGTGAAATGGAAGCCCCAGTTTTTATGATTTCTAGGGGCTGTCTCAAGTCTGACTTCCTCTAACTTCTGAGAATGGAATGTGGGTGCTGATTCATATAAACTACGTCACATTGTATCTAAGGAAATGCACCCTGAGGCAATTATCTTAAAGCTAACCAAGAACATTGGCAAACAAGCCATTTTATTACATCTAGTAGGTTTTCTCCATGTCATTAGTGGGAGTTAAATGGAAAAAGAATTCAAGAAAAAGGAACAAAACCTTGAGCTAAAGGCAAGACAACCTTCTATAATTCCATTCAAACTGCTCGGGCCCACCCAGCTCCACCACCTCCAGTAGCCCGTCTAGTTGATGAAGTAACAACAGGTACATCCAAGCTACTGCTGTTACTGCCAACAGGCCATGCCTCCACCAGGGCACCATTCTTGATTATCTTTCCAAATCCAAATGTACTGGTCCTAAATGCAGCTCTGAAAGATGCTCACAGTGAGGGGAGTGAAATGAGCATTTAAAGACTGGTGTTGTATGCAAGGCCTCCACTTCTTCACCTGTTTAAGATCTAATTTGTGTCAGCCAGGGGGAGCAAAGTCTTGACTGAGTAGTCTCATCTACCACATACAAAAAACACTGATCAAACTCATTTATGGTAATAGCACTAAGCAATTGATTTTTTAAAATTACATCCCTGAAATTTCTGGAAATAGATGTTAATAGTAGCTATCAAGATCATGTTTAAACAGAATGCAGTAAGTATTGTGATTCTGGGAAAACTTTGTTTTCCAGCTGCTATGTTTAACATTAAAAGGAATCCCCTGAAAACAGAAAAGAGTTCTTTCACTTCACTGGGACTGAAAAGCTGTCATCTAACCTCTGCTGTGTGCAGTCAAGAACACAGGCCGAAGAAGAGCTCTGAGATGAAAGCTGTTTCTATTCCCTGGTGGCTCCAAAAAACGTGAAGTTCTTGGCCAACCACTGCGCCTTCTGGATGAAGATATCTTGTCATCAGGACAGAAAATGATTAGATTCCAGGAGTTTTTAATGCTTCACTGTGGAGAACTTATGAGTAAATACAGTCCACATATAGAATGGGTGGGACGGCAGGGCTGGCCATTCTTGTTCCCCTTTGTTCAAGTATTTTTAACCCCTGGAACACAGTGATATTTACAAACAATAAGATCTTTCTGTATACTTAGTTTCCATGCAAGTGACAATGAAAAATGAAAAGATTTAGACTTTCAACCTAGATTCGATTTAGATCAAAACTCTTATCTACTCGCAGCACCTTTTTTTATTTTTTAACTCTGGGAAGTCATTCCTGTGACCTAAGATTCCAGTTATAGAAGAGGAAATTAAACCAACTAAGCTCTGCTTGGACTATGAGGAATTCCTAATGCATTATTTTAACTCTATTCTGTCTACTGGAAGAACTCCTAGCTTTCTCTGACCTTTCTCATCCCACCCTCTCCTACCCCAGGTCCTAACTTTAATCATGAAGAGAGGATGCTTAGAAAGTAGAAGGTTAAGAAAAGGAAGAGTGACATTCTAGAATGTTTTCCAGAGAGGAAACTACTTTTTTTTTTTAAAGGGGGTAGGGGGATGAGCAGAAATAACATTCCCCCTTAAGGCAGGATATATAAGGAAAGAGAGATCACATGTGAAAAGGAAGCATCTCTATTCCCTTGTCTTTTCCAGTATGTAGTGTCCAGGAAGAATCAGAAGAAACGAGCTTTCGGGGCCAATCTCTTTAGGCTGGGAAACTCACCTTTATATAAAGAATCTACTCAACCCATAGGCTTTGAAATGGTGGTAATGAGTAGTGGTCTAAGGGACTATGACTACCACCAAGTGCCAATCTCATGCCTGGGTTGTGCAGGTAGCAAGTACCATATTTAATACTTTATACCATTTATAAAGATCACTTCCTTCTCTCCTATTTGTCTCCTATTTGTATTATTACAAAGGAAGCTCTGAAGGACTGAGCTATTTTTATCTGTTCACTAGTTCTTACTCTATTGATTCTTCAATCTATGGGGACACACAGTTCTGGGAGAATTAAGGTTCCTTGCTTAGGAAAGAGGGTGGGGAAAATAAAAAAGAATCCCAAAATGAAGCATGCTAGGAAACTTCTGGCTGTGGTAGAGCAAAGAGGTAGATAAATCCTTCCCCTAAAAAAAAAACAAAGCCCCAAAACACAAATATAAACCTGGATCAAAGTGTCACAAATTACCATTTTAGGGCAAATTAACCAAAGGCAAACAACCAAGTAAAAAGTATTATTGGTCGGGCACAGTGGCTCGGGTCTGTAATCAGCACTTGGAGGGGCCAAGGCGAGTGGGATCACCAGAGGTCAGAAGTTCAAGATCAGCCCGGCCAACATGGTGAAACCCCATCTCTACTAAAAATACAAAAATTAGCCAGACGTGGTGGTGTGCACCTGTAATCCCAGCTACTTGGGAGGCTGAGGCAGAGGAATTGCTTGAACCCGGAGGCTGCAGTGAGCCGAGATCACACTATTGCACTCCAGCCTGGGTAACAAGAGTGAAACTCTGTCTCAAAAAAAAAAAAAAAAAAAAAAGTCATTTAGCCATAGAAAGGAGTGAAGTACTAACACATGCCACACGGAAGAACCTCAAAAATATGGTATGTGAAAAACACCAGTGACCAAAGACCACAAATGATTCCAGTTACATGCAATGTCTGGGACAGGCAAACCTATGGTGGCTGCCTAGGGCTGTGAGGTGGTGACAATATTCTAAAATTTACTGTGATTATGGTTATACAACTTTGTGCATATACTAAAAACCACTAAAACCAATGAACTGTTCAACTTAGTGAATTGTACAGCATGCGAGTTATAATAAAAAAAAACACAACTAAATCCTAGAAACTCAACTCTTAGAAGATTACTTTATATGTGTATGTGGGCTGGGCATGGTGGCTCACGCCTGTAATTCCAGCACTTTGGGAGGTTGTGGCGGGCAGATCAGGAGGTCAGGAGTTCGAGACCAGCCTGACCAACATGGTGAAACTCCGTCTCTACTAAAAATACAAAAATTAGCTGGGTGTGGTGGTGCGCGCCTGTAATCCCAGCTACTCAGGAGGCTGAGGCAGGAGAACCACTTGAACCTAGGAGGCAGAAGTTGCAGTGAGCCGAGATCGCACCACTGCACTCCAGGCTGGGCGACAGAGTGAGACTCCATCTCCCAAAAAAAAAAAAAAAATTATCTGTGGTAGGCCCATAAGCTGTTGATGTCTTAATTTCTTGAACCTATGAACATATTTATTTACATGGCAAGAGCGTTTGCAGATGTGATTAAGAATTGTAAGGACAGCAAGATGATCCTGAATTATCCAGGTGAACCCAATCTAATCACACAAGGCCTCTAAAGGTGATGTAATGTTGATGATCTGACAAGTTGGTATTGGCTTTGAAGATGGAGGAAGGGGCCACAAGCCAACAAACATGAGTGCTTCTATAAGCTGGAAAAGGCAAGGAAATAGATTCCCCCCTAAAGCCTCGAGAAAAGAACACAGCTCTGCTGACACCTTGATTTTAGCCCAGTAAGAGCCATGCTGGAATTCTAACCGACACAACTGTAAGATGAAAATTATCTGTTGTTTTAGCTACTACATTTGTAGTAATTTTAATAGTAATAGAAAATGAATACACTAGACTATAAATTATTTGTTTTATATAGAAAAGAAAATGAATCAAATATATCTTAGTAAATCATCTGGAATAAATGAATAAGTGCAAAATATCAGAAACGTGACATAAAAACCTCAAAACCAGAGATACTTGGGGCAACAACATTCCTGCCAACACCAAAAAAATTTTTTTCCTTAATTTTTGCTGAAGTATAATATACATGAAGTCCCAAATGTAAGTACAGCTAAAAGAATTTTCACAAAGTGAATACACCATGTAGTCACCTCCCCCAAATGAAGATACAGAATATAGCCAGAATCCCAGAAAGCATCCCTCAATTCCCCTAAAGACACCACTATTCTGACATATCATAATAGATTAACCCCACCACTTTTCTGGCTTCATTTAAATGCAATCATCATTTAGACTCCTGTGTATCTGGCTGCTTCTGCTCAACATTACGTGTGTGAGATTCATCCAGGCTGCTGCATGTTGCAGCAAACAAAGCTTTTTTGCTTTGTTTTGTAGTACCTCATATATCACAATTCATTATCCCTTCATGTCTTGATGATTATTTGGGTTGTTTCCAGCTTTTGACTCTTATGAAGACTATTTAACTTCAGCAGATACTGCTAAACTTTTCCAAACTGGCTAGAACTGTTTACCCTATCAAAAGTGTGCATGTGTTCTTGTTTCTCTGCTTCCTTGTCACCACTTGGTATTATCAATTTCTTAAATCAGGCATTCTGTGTCTAATCTGCTGCACACATACCAAAGCCTGGCTGTATATTATTTTTTAAATGCCAATAAAAATTAGATCCTGAATTTTTTTCACTTGCTATTCTCACATTTTACATGCATCTTTGTTAGTATTTCCTACATCACAATCATGTCTGCAAATAGAATTTTCTCTCTTTCCAGTTATTATACCTCTTATCTTTCTGCCTTACTACCCTGACTAGAACTTTATTTTTTAATTTTTTGTAGTGATAGAGGTCTATGTTGCCCAGGTGACTCTTGAACTCTTAGCCTCAAGGGATCCTCCTGCCTCAGACTCCCAGTAGAGCTTTACATACAACACTGAATGGAAGTGATGAGAACAAGGTCTTGTCTGTTCCCTCATCTCTAGAAGTAAGCTTTCAGTAAGTCACCATTAAGCTTAATGTCCACTATAAACATTATTTTTTGTAGACGTCCTTTATCATATTTTTAAAAGTCCCTTTATTCCTAGTTTGTTAAATATTTGTTCTGTGGGTTTTTTGTTTTTTTTGAAACTAATGAACAGGTGTTGAATTTTATCAAATGCTTTTGTTCTTCTTTGACTAGATTTCATTTTTCCCTCCATTTTGAGAACTTTGAAGGACTTTAATTCATTGAAATGTTTTGAGATTGCATGTGGCCAATTAGAAGGAATGTGCAATCCCCTGTTGTTTGGTGCAGTGTTTTATAGATTAGTCAGGACAAAGTAGTTAATAGCATTACTCATATCTTCTGTAGCTCTACTAAATTTCATTTGTTTTTTTTATTAATGAGAGAAGTGTATTAAAATCTCCAAATATGCCTATTTTGCCTTTTAGATCTATCAGTTTCCCTTTATATTTTCTGGGGCTATGCTACTAGATACATATGAATTTTTTTTTTAAGACATTTATTCAGCGTCATGATCAGACTATTACATTTAGCAATCAACAGCATGGGTGCAAAAAAAAAAAGAAAAAGAAAAAAATCTACATTAAAACCCTTTGTTGGAATGCTTTACACTTTCCACAGAACAGAAACTAAAATAAGCTGTTATACAATTAGTCACAAACACAGTCCTCGAGTTTTCTGCCCATACGCAGGAGTATTTGTCTAAATCATGTCTTCTTTGTAGCAGAGCTAGGCCCTGCCACCACTGTGCTTGGCTGAGTTCACAAATCTGTTGTAACCTGTAGCTTCCCTGTCACTTCTCCGGCTTTCCTCTCCTGCTAAGCTTTGTCTCCTAATTAAAATCTTCTGCCACTGCCATAGCTACTGCTGCTACTGGAACCGCCATAGCCACCTTGGTTTCGTGGTTTGGCAAAGTATTGGCTGCCACCACATAGGGGCCAGAGCTGCTGCCTCCAAAGTTTCCTCCCTTTATGGGTCCAAAATTTGAAGACTGATTGTTGTAACTGCCAAAATCATTGTAGCTTCCACCACCTCTAAAATTGCCTCCACTACCACCGCCAAAGCTGCCTTCGCCTCCGTTGTTATAGCTGTCACAGCTGCCACTCCTGCCATAGCCACTGCCCTGGTTTCCATAACCCTGTCCACCACTTCCAAAGCCTCTGCTTCCTCCAGAGTAACCAGGCCCACCTCCTCCATAACCATCATCATTACCAAATCCATTATAGCCATCCCCACTGCCACCATATCCACCACCACCACGGCTGCCACCAAAGCCACCACGACCACTGAAGTTTCCTCCACGACCAAAGTTGTCATTCCCACCAAAACCACCTCCACGACCACCACCAAAGTTTCCAGAACCACTTCGACCTCTTTGGCTGGATGAAGCACTGGCCATCTCTTGCTTTGACAGGGCTTTCCTAACTCCATAGTTGTGGCCATTCACAGTATGGTATTTCTGAATGACAATCTTATCCACGGAGTCATGGTTGTCAAAGGTTACAAAAGCAAAGCCCCTTTTCTTGCCACTGCCTCTGTCAGTCATGATTTCAATCACTTCAATTTTTCCATACTGTTCAAAATAATCTCTTAGGTGACGTTCTTCAGTGCCTTCTTTAATGCCACCAACAAACATTTTTTTCACAGTTAAGTGGGCACCTGGTCTTTGAGAATCTTCTCTTGAGATAGCTCTCATTGGTTCCACAACTCTTCCATCTACTTTGTGTGGCCTTGCGTTCATAGCTGCATCCACCTCCTCCACAGGTGCATACGAGACGAACCCAAAGCCCCTGGAGTGCTTGGTGTTTGGATCTCTCATTACCACACAGTCTGTGAGCGTTCCCCATTGCTCAAAATGGCTCCTCAGGCTCTCATTGGTTGTTTCAAAGCTCAACCCTCCAATGAAGAGCTTCCTCAGCTGTTCTGGCTCTTTAGGAGACTCTGACTTAGACATGATCGCAGGGAGAAGAGAGACTTTAACGATGCTGCTTCGGCGGCGTCCACGGGCAGAAAGGAGCAAACTGACGAACACATCTCGAATTTATAAAGTGCTCTAAGTGCCTATAAAGTCTTCCTGGGCAGTGTTAAGTCTTACAACGTTGTTTTCTAAGAATGCCTTGGCTATTGTTATTGTTTTAATCCTTTATCATCATGAACAACCTCTATCTCTAGTAATATTTCTTTCTGTGAAATAACACTTTGAAATTAATATAGCTCTTCCAGGGGTCCTTTGGTGTTTGCATAGTATACCTTTTCCAACTCTTTTACTTTCAGTCTTTCCACTTAAAGTGGGTCTCTTGTACACAAATCATGGTTGGGTCAATTGCTTTTTTTTTTTTTTTTTTTTTAATTTTTTTGAGACAGAGTCTTGTTTTGTCGCCAGGCGCCAGGTTGGAGTGCAGTGGCTCAGTCTCGGCTCACTGCAACCTCCGCCTCTCGGGTTCAAGTAATTCTCCTGCCTCAGCCTCCCGAGTAGCTGGGACTACAGGCATGCGCCACCATGCCCAGCTAATTTTTGTATTTTTTTAGTAGAGACAGGGTTTCGCCATGTTGGCCAGGATGGTCTCGATCTCTTGACCTCGTGATCTGCCCGCCTCGGCCTCCCAAAGTGCTGGGATTACAGGTGTGAGCCACTGCGCCTGGCCGGGTCTATTGTTTTTAATCTGAAAATCTTTGTCTTTTAACTGGAATAGTCAGCCTGTTTACCTACAATGTAATTTTTACATATTTGGGTTTACCTCTATTACTGTACTCTTAGTTCTTTGTTCCCTTTCTTTCCTGCCTTATTTTAGACTAAGCAAATATTAATATTCCAGTTCTCTTGTTAGCCTCTTATATTCCATTCTTTTATCACTTTAATTGTTAACAGTATGACTTTAATTATAGTAGCCACACAGAAAAAGTTAAAAACATATATTAATATATTTAATCAAATATGTTAAAAATATCATCATTTCAACATGTAATCAGTATTTTTTAAATGAGGTATTTTATATTCTCTTTTTTCCATACTAAGTCTTCTAAGCTTTCAAAATATGGTGTTTATTTTATAGTCACAGCACATCTCAATTCAGAATAGCCACATTTTAAGTTCTCAATAACTCCATGCAGCCAATGCCAACTGTAGCAGACTGCAGCCATAGATTTACAATGTGCAACCCTTAACTTACTAAGAGACTATGACAAATTAGTAATTTCCTGACCTTCTGAACAATGCAAGAACCTTGCAATACCTTAATTACATTTACTGCCCCCCTCCTAACTTTTGAACCATTTTATGTGAAATTTTCAACCTACATATATATTGTTATTACACTATAGTCAATATTCATATACATTTACCTTCATATTTACTCTTCCATTGTTCTTTATTCCTTCCTGCAATTTTGTTTCCCTATGGGATTACTGTCTTTCTGTAACAAGGACTTCCTTTTTCTTTCAGAATGGGCCTATTGGTGACAAATACTCTTTATTATCTATTGAGAAATCAGCTGTCAATCTTATTATTCCGCTTAACCTAATTATCTTTTTTCTCTAGCAATTAAAGATTTTTTTCACTGTCCTTGACTTTTAGCACTTTGATTATGGCACTCCTAGCCCTCTCATTTAGTATAACCCAACTGTATGTGTCTTAAACCTTCTGTTGTGTCCCTTGTCTCCATTACATTATTATTTTTCATTCTTTCATTTCTCAGTGCTTCATTGTGGATCTTTCTTACTGATCAATCTTCTAATTCATACATCTTTCTGTGTTGAGTTGCTGTTAAACACATGCATGGGACTTAACTCAAGCTAATGTATTTTTTAGTCCTAAAATTTTCATTTGGCCAGGTGCAGTGGCTGACGCCTGTAATCCCAGTACTTTCGGAGGCCCAGTCTGGCAGATCACCTGAGGTCAGGAGAGACCAGCCTGGCCAACATGGTGAAACCCTGTCTCTACTATCAAAAAAAAAAAAAAAAAAATCAGCTGGACATGGTGGCAGGTGTCTGTAATCCCAGCTACTCAGCAGGCTGGGGCAGGAGAATCACTTGAACCCAGGAGGTGGAGGTTGCAGTGAGCCGAGATTGCACCACTGTACTCCAGCCTACGTGACGAGAGCAAAAGGCTATCTAAAAAGATAAAATAAAATTTTTGTTTGATTCTATTTTATAGATTCCAGTTCTCTGGTAAAACCCTATATCTCTTCATCTGTTTCCATAAACTCATAAATCAGTTATTCTAAGGCCTAAGAGTTCCAATGTCTGGATCACTTCAAGTTCTTTTCCTGTTACTCATTCTTTCTCTTGATTTTCATTCATTTGATCCTGCTTATTGGCATGCCTGGTATTTTTATAGAGATAGGGTCTTACTATGTGGCCAGGTTGGTCTCGAACTCCTGGTCTCTAGTAATTTTGCTGCCTTGGCCGCTCAAAATGCTACGATCACAGGCATGAGCCACTGCGCCTGGCAATTCCTGGTATTTTTTTTTTTTTTTTAATATTTAAGCTTAAGTAGGGCAATTCCTAGTATTTTGATGGAATGCAGGATACTATGTTTCAAAGAGCATAGGGGCTAAGTTTCTTCTGGCAGGCAACTAGAATAAGGGCTGATCACCTTGATCCAATCAAAGTTTTGAAGCTGGATTTTAAGCTGGTAACTTCTGGTCAGCCTTTATTGGTAGGACATAATTCTTTTGAGGTCTCAACTGAAAGCCTGGAGTATTTTCCATTGTCATTCCTCTTCGGCTGGCCTTGAAATCTAATTTTTTGTCTACCTGCTCCTGTGAGAACAAAAACTATGCTTAAGTTGTTTAGCCTTTGGTAACAGCTTTCTACTAAATTTCTTCTGAATTTGAAAAATATCTTAATTTGAAAAATACCTTAACAGCAAAAGCTAAGTCAAATGTTGAGTTTACTACCCTCTATTTTTCCAAAGAGTTGGGATCTCACTCTGTTGCCCAGGGTCAAGTGCAATGGTGTGATCAAAGCTCACTGTAACCTCGAACTGCTGGGCTCAAGCAATCTTCCTGCCTCAGCCTCCTTGAGTAGCTGGGATTACAGGCATGTGCCAACATGATGGCTGAGTTCATTACTCTTGAGGTTGTCTTTTCCCTAGGATCTTGGACCCTCAAATCCTGGCTGCCTTAAAATCCCTCATTTTGAACTTTAGTCCTGCTACTCAATGATTCTGAAACAAACTCTGGACCACTGCTTTGTCTGGCCTCTACGCCACGGGAAGAATTAGCCAACGCCCCAAGGGAAAAAAGCAGGGGTAAATATGGGCTCAACTCAATAGAATTTTTCTCTACAATTTTGGCTCCTGCCAAATTTGACCTGGCTGTCTTGGTTAGTCCCCAATGCCTTTAATGATATTTATTTTTGTATTTTAAACAGTTTTTACAGCAGTCTCGTCAGAGATTTGGTCTGATATTCTGTTATAACCATAAACAAAATTTTCCTGAGTTTTAATTACTGATACAGTTTTTACTGACTAGTCTATAAACTTCCTGAGAATAGAAACTACTTTTATTCCCTAACTTCTATTTAAACACTTAGCACACTACCTGACACAGAGCTTACTATTTGATAAATTATTAGTTTTTGTTTTGTTTTGTTTTTTGAGACGGAGTCTCGCAATGTTGCCTGGGCTTGAGTGCAAAGACATGATCTCAACTCACTGCAACCTCTGCCTTCCAGGTTCAAGCGATTCTCCTGCCTCAGCCTCCCAAATAACTGGGACTACAGGTGCCCACCACCAAATCTGGGGCTGATTTTTTGTATTTTTAGTAAAGACAAGGTGTCATCATGTTGGCCAGGCTGGTCTCAAACTCCTGACCTTGTGATCCACCCGCCTCGGCCTCTCAAAGTGTTGGGATTACAGGTGTGAGTCACTGTGCCCAGCCTATTAACTTTTTTATATTAGGAAAAAAAGCTTAGAATGCAAGTAAAGCACAGCACATAAATATAGGCCTGCTAAACCAATCCAGCCCATTAATTCTTTTTTTTTTTTTTTGAGACAGAGTTTTGCTCTTGTTACCCAGCCTGGAGTGCAATGGCGTGATCTCGGCTCACCGCAACCTCCGCCTCCTGGGTTCAGCAGTTCTCCTGCCTCAGCCTCCTGAGTAGCTGGGATTACAGGCACGCGCCACCATGCCCAGCTAATTTTGTGTATTTTTAGTAGAGACGGGGTTTCACCATGTGGACCAGGATGGTCTTGACCTCTTGACCTCGAGATCCACCCGCCTCGGCCTCCCAAAGTGCTGGGGATTACAGGCTTGAGCCACTGCGCCCGGCCTAATCCTTTTAATTTTACTTATCTCCAGTGAAATATCCAATCTTTTCTTCTGTGGTCCACAAATTAATGAAGTACATCCATCAATAAAACTGCATTCTCAATGTTAATCTGAGGTTAAATTACTCAGACAGTACTAAAATATTTTATTTATTTATTAAGAGTCTTTTGTTCTAGATTAAGTGATTTCATCATTCTTTGGATTTAACCAATCCATTTCTAGGTCTAGCATTTTATTAGAAAACAATGAGATTTTTCATTCAAAATAAAGCGCTCTTAAGCTTTAGAGGTGTCTTGATTACATTCAATTAGGGTTTTCCAGGAGGGCAAGAAAACAATAATACAACAAAAGCTCTTAGATATAAAATCTAAAACCAAAGAAAAGTTGACTTAAAGTATAAATATTTTCTTTATGCCAGTGGGTTACTCTTGTATTATCGATCTTGTACCATCAATCCCTAACGACAACAGCTAAAAAAAATTAAAAGTGGTTGTCTCTGGACAGCAGAAATTTTAGAGGTAAGGAAATAGGGAACTGGATTACCACTTCTCACAATAAGCACTTAAAAATTATTAGTCCCATGTTTAAATTGAAAACATAATTGTGTATAAACAGAGGTACTGATTTTTTAAAAAAGAGAAAAAAAGGAAGACGCAACCCTTAAAGTAATAGTACTGAAAGCTGGTTACACAATGCCCTGGACTCACAAGGCAGCCTTGAGGCAGCCATTTATCCTTGTGGTGGTTTCAGTCCTAGATCTGCAAACCTGATAATAAACCAGAACTCCAAGATATTTTCAACACTAATATTCTACTATTCTAAAGCTTCAATGTATGATAAATGGCAGGGCACGAGTTAAAAGAGAAAAATGTATTTGTTAAATAAAAGCTAAACTCATAAGGGCTTGTTTTGTAATGGATGCTTAATGAAATTACAGTGATCAGCACAGTAATTTTAGGGTGACTCTTAAGAGAGTTAACGAAAGATGATATGGGCATTAGGGAATCTATCTCCATTGATTAGACAGCTTCTTCATAAATGCACACACGTTCCAAGCATTAATGATCCATCTAGGGCCTCTGAGAGCAGTATGTGCTAAGTGTCACGTAACAGCTTCTGCTCTCACAAACTAGTCAAAGTGTCACAACCTGCCCTTTTCTGCAAACTGTGAGTAGTCAGAGACCGAAGGACTGAACCGAAACTGCTGGATCCAAAGGATGGGCATGATCATCAATTTATAGCTAGATAGGGAAAGGGCGCTGGCCCTTCCTATATGATTCTTGACAAATTAAGAGCACTATGAGATATGGCTTTCAGTTTTAAAAGATTATGCATTTCAGACCAGGTGCAGTGGCTCACACCTGTAATCCCAGCACTTTGGAAGGCTGAGGCAGGTGGATCACTTGAGGTCAGGAGTTCGAGACCAGCCTGGCAAACATAGCAAAACCCCATCTCTACTAAAAACACAAAAATTAGCTGGGCGTGGTGACAGGCCCCTGTAATCGCAGTTACTCTGGAGGTTGAGGCAGGAGAATTGCTTGAACCTGGGAGGTGGAGGCTGTGGTGAGCCAAGATTGCATCACTGCTCTCCAGCCTGGGTGACAGTGAGACCCCATCTCAAAAAAAAGAAAAAAAAGATTATGCATTTCAGACTGTCCAATTTTTTTTTTTTAATTATACTTTAAGTTCTGGGGTACATGTGCAGAATGTGCAGGTCTGTTATATAGGTAAACTACATGCCAGGGTGGTTTGCCACACCCATCAACCAGACTGTCCAATTTTAACTTACAGAGCTTGAAATAAAAGAACCAGTACCCTCTTTGCTTCTAAAGGTAAGGATCAGATAGGTATCTGTCTCACAGGAAACAAAAGCCAACTGCCTCTCCCCCAAGCTGTACATATATATCATCAAAGAAGTGTCCATAGGAAGTAAGAAAGCAGAGAATTGGGTTAGTAGCAAAGACTGTCAAGTTTACGAAAAGAATTTTCCGTATGTACGATTAACCATCCTGTATCATATTTCCCCCTGAATTTTAAGTACCGAGTAAATGAAAATAAACTTTAAATTATTAGCTGAAATAATTGATTTGTGTATATATGTTTCTACATATAGATTAAGGTATATATATATTAAATATCTTAAGATCATAGAATCATAGGACTTAAACTAGAAGAACTCAAGAGGCATTAAATAATTGACTTAATGCTTGAATTATCTCCATTTAATTAACTTGATACATGGCAAAGTTCTAAAATCAAAGGAAAAGTAATTTTTTTTTGTTTTTTCTTTTCCTGAGACAGGGTCTTACTCTATCGCCTAGGCAGGAGTGCAGTGGCATGATAGCAGCTCACAGCAGCCTCAACTTCCCAGCTCAAGTAAGCCTCCTGCCTCAGCCCTCCAAGTAGCTGGGTTGAGGTGGGAGGATCGCTACCATGCTGCTAATTTTTTTTAAGTAGAGAGAAGATCTCACTATGTTGCCCAGGCTGGTCCAAACTCCTAAGCATAAGCAATCCTTCAAGGGGGAAGTAATTTATAATGTTCCAAAATTACTTAATTTATTGTCTACAAAAATTTAAAACTTAGGTTATAAGAAGACACCTAACAACAAGGAAGACAATACAAGTATACTTCAGACTGTACTTCATCTTCCTGTGCTTCATAGATACTGCGTTTTTTACAACTTGAGGGTTTGTGGCAACCCTGTATCAAACAAGCCTGTTGGTACCATTCTGCCAACAGCATGTGCTCATTTCAACATCTCTGGGTCACGTTTGGTAATTCTTGCAACATTTTTTATTATAACAGTTATGGTGGTGTGTGACCAGTGATCGTTGATGGCACTATAGTAATTGTTTTGGGGTGGCATGAACTGTGCCCATATAAGACAGTAAACTTAATCTGTAAAGTTGTGTGTGTTCTGAATGATCCACTGACTAGCCACTTTGTGTGTCTCTCTCTCTCTCTCCTTGGGCCTCCCTACTCCTTGACACATAACAATGTTAAAATTAGGCCAATTAATAACCCTACAATGGCCTCTAAGTGTTCAAGTAAAAGGAAGGCTAACACATCTTTCACTGTAAATCAAAATCTAGAAATGCTTAAGCTGAGAAAGGCACAGCAAAAGCCAACAGGCTGAAATCGGGGCCTCTTGTGCCAGTTAGTCAAGTTGTGAATGCACAGAAAAAGTTATTGAAGGAAATCAAAAGTGCTACACCAGTGAATATACAAATGATAAGATAACAAAATGGCCTTATTGCTGATATGGAGAAAGTTTTCATGCTTTGAATAAAAGATCAAACCAGCTACAACATTTCCTTAAGCCAAAGCTGAATCCACAGCAAGGCCTTAACTCTCTTCAATTCTATGAATGCTGAGATTGGTGACGAAGCTGCAGAAGAAAAGTTTGAAGCTAGCAGAGGCTGGCTCAATGTTGAAGGAAAGAATTCATCTCCATAACATACAAGTTCAAGGTGAAGCAGCAAGTGCTAATACAGAAGCTGCAGCAAGTTACCCAGAAGATCTAGCTAAGATCACTGATGAAGGTGGCCACACTAAATGACAATTTTCAATGTGGATAAAACAGCCTTCTATTAAAAGAAGATGACACCTAGGACTTTCATAGCTACAGAGGAAAAGTCAATGCCTGGCTTCAAAGCTTCAAAGGACAGGCTGTCTCTCTCATTAGGGGCTAAGCAGCTGGTGACTTTAAGTGGAAGCCAGTGCTCATTTACCAGTCCCACAATCCTAGGACCCTTAGTGGTTACGCTAAATCTACTCTGCCTATGGTCTATAAATGGAACAACAAAGCCTGGATGACAGCCCATCTGTTGACAGCATAGTTTATTGAACACTTTAAACCCAATGTTCCTTTCGAAATATTACTGCTCATCGACAATGCAACAAATCAGCCAGGAGCTGCAATGATGATACAAGGAGATTAATGTTGTTTTCATGTCTGCTAATACAACATCCATTCTGCAGCTCTTAGATCAAGGAGTGGGCTTAAAATGTTCAATAAACTATGGGTCTCGCCACTTCAAGCCAAGATCATGGACTTAAATCGAATGACAAAGGAGAAACAAATGAAGCAGCTTAAAGAGAAGTAACAAGATCAGTTTCAAAAACACTTTGGTAGTAAACTAGAAGCTGGACAAGAAGATGAGAAAACTACATATGTCCATGTGAAAACTTGTTGTACACAAATGTCTTCAACCAGGCAGGTGGATTGTGCCTATGGATTCAGCTACTTGGGAGGCTGAGCTGGGAAGATCACTTGAGACCAGACTGGGCAACATACTAAGACCTCATGCCAAAAAAAAGTTCCTAGCAGTGATATATATAACCCCCACAAAAGTGTAAGCAACACAGACACCATCCTGAAGAGTATTATGGATAAACAATATGTAGCATACCCATATAACAGAATATTATTTGGCCACAAAAAGGAATGAAGTAGTATATGCTACGGCATGGATAAACCTTAAAAACATGATTCTAAGTGAAAAAATCCAGTCACAGAGGACCACATATTGTGTGATTCCATTTATAAAAAATGTCCATAATAAGGAAATCTATAGGACAGAAAGTGATTAGTGGTTGCTTGTAGTAAATAGAGAATGACTGCTACCAGGTATAGGATTTCTTTATGGGGCAGTAAAAATATCCTAAAATTGGTTGTGGTAATGGTTTTACGACTCTGAATATATTTTAACCCCCCGCCCCCGCCACTGAAATGTACACTTTAAGTTGGATGAATTGTATCTTGTGTGGCCTATCTCAATAAAAAAATGTTCTTAAGAAAAAGAAAAAAAAACAACTAAGTGATTGTAATTGATTTCATTTACAACTAAGTGATTTCATTTATGCTTGAGGTTTCAGTTCTAGAACCAACTTGTAACTGCCAGCATTGATGTTCTTGCCATTCAACAAAGCCTGAGACTTTTCAGGTTTGAGTATGGAAGTCTTTTTTTTTTTTTTTTTTTTTTTTTTTTTTTTTTTTTTTGCAGTACGAGTTTCATTTTTGTTGCCCAGGCTGGACTGGTGGTGTGATTTCAGCTCACCTCAACCTCTGTTTCCAGGGTTCAAGCGCCTGCCTCAGCCTCCCAAGTAGCTGGGATTACAAGCATGTGCCACCATGCCCGGCTGATTTTTGTACTTTTAGTAGAGACAGGGTTTCACCATATTGGCTAGGCTGGTCTTGACCTCCTGACCTCAGGTGAGCCACTGCTTTGGCCTCCCAAAGTGCTGGGATTACAGGCTATGAGCCACCACGCCCAGCCTGAGTATGGAAGCCATTTTAGGCTGAAGTTTTATGTTTGGTTTCGTTCACTTAGCATAAAATTTTCATAGTTCGTCCAAGTTGCAGCATGTATCAAAACTTCTAATCCATGAACACGGTATGTCTTTCCATTTATTTAGATTGTCTTTAATTTCTTTCAGCAATGTTTTGTATTTTTCAGTGTATCAGACTCGTGCCTCCTTTGTTAAATTTATTTCTAGATAGTTTATTCTTTTTGATGTTTCTATAAATGAAATTGTTTTAATTTATTGTTAGTATAAGTAAATGCAAGTGATTTTTGTGTACTGATCTTGCATCTTGCAACTTTGCTGAATTTACTAGTTTCAACAGTTTTTATGTAAATTCTTAAAGGTTTTCTAGATAATAGCTGGGTGTGATGGCTTACACCTGCAGTCCCATCTACTCAGGAGGTTGAAGAGGAAGTAATGTGTAGCTGCTATTTTTGGGTGCAGTGTTGTATAAAATACGTAATTAGGTCTAGTTGGTATATAGTACTATTCAAGTCTTCTATCCCTTGCTGATTTTCTATCTGGTCTTGTCATTTCTTTCTCTTTTTGCAAAGTTGTTTGATTATTGTGGTAAATATACATAACAAATCATTTTAACCATCTTTAGGTATACAGTTCAACAGCATTAAGTATATTCATACTATTGTGCTACAATCACCACAATCCACCTCCAGTACTTTTTTCATTTTATAAAACTAAACTGTGTACCCACCCCCTTTCTTTTTTCCCTCCCCCAGCCCCTGACAATCAACATTCTAATTTTTGTCTCTATAAATATTACTACTCTAGGTACTCCATATAATTAGAGTTGTGTAGTATTTCTCCTTTTATACATGGCTTGTTTCATCTAGCGCAGAGTCTTCAATGTGCATCGTGTTGTAGCATGGGTAAGAATTTCCTTCCTTTGAATTAATTGTTTTAATTAAATAAATAAAAAGAAAGTAAAAAAAAAGAATTTCCTTCCTTTTTAAGGAAGAATGGTATTCCATTGTATTATATAACACAGGTTGTTTATCCATTCATCTATTGATCAACATCTGGTTGCTTCCATTTTTCAGCTATTGTAAGTAACAGTGCCATGAAAATGGGTGTGCTTAAAACATTTCTCCAAATCTCTGCTTTCAATTCTTTTGGGTATATACCCAGAAGTGGAATTGCCAAATCATATGGTAATTCTGTTTATTTTTTTCAGGAACTGTCATACTATTTTCCACAGCAGTTACATTTTATAGGTTCCCCCGCCTCAACAAAGCATAAGCCTACACATTTCTCCACATCTTTGCCAACACTATTAATCTCCTTTTTTAGCCAGTGGAAGTTGGCATGGAGATTTTTTTGAGTCGGGGGACAGAGTCTCACTCTGTCGTCCAGAGGTGCAATATTGGCTCACTGCAACCTCTGCCTCTGGGTTCAAGTGATTCTCCTGCCTCAGCCTCCTGAGTAGCTGGGATTACAGGCGCAAGCCACCAAGCCCAGCTATTTATTGTATTTTTAATACAGACAGGGTTTTACCATGTTGGTCAGGCTGGTCTCGAACTCTAACCTTGTGATCCACCAACCTTTGCCTCCCAAAGTGCTGGGATTACAGGTGTGAGCCACTGAGTGAGGCCTTTTTTTTTTTTTTTTTTTTAATTATTTTCTCTTTTTCACTTGCCACTGGCTAGAAGCTCAAATATGGAGAGTCTTAATACATCTTCAATGATTATTATGACTTTTCTTTATGCCCACTGCAATTTGCTTGGCTTTTTAATCTTAAATGAGGATCATCACTTAAAATCATGTACAAATTCATCCAAAAGGGTGTTAATGGCAGATCTTAATCAATCCGTTACTCTACTACATGATTACCTCTTCTGCATAAAATTTGTATGCAAATGTTGTAGCTAGACCTTTTATGCCATTTTGGTGAGATGAGGGCTGATGTGAAGAGATCAGGAACATAGAACTCTATTCTCTTCTTGTGTTGTACTTCTGTGCATTTGTGCCAAAGTATGAAATGCAATCAAGAGTACCATCTGCAAGCTGGGGAGAATCTCTGTAACTAATACTGTACGTGAGGACACCAGGAACAAAACTGTATTTTTTAGCAGTATGAATGGATGAATTTTACATGTTTTCTTTTTGTATGGAGAATTAGGGTCCACTCTCCGAAGTTACATTTACCTTAAAAAAGCATTTAACCTGGACTTAAATAAGAAAGTGCTACAATAGATGAGTAATATTGGAAATATTGGCTACTGTGGAAAGGTAACAAACTTACTTCCTCCAAGTGATAGTCAATTACAGCTGGACTTTAAGAATGTGTTCCTGAAATTTTATATATGACTCATCACTGCAGCCTCTGCCTCCCAGGCTCAAGTGATCCTCCCATCTCAGCCTCTCAAGAAGCTGAGACTCCAGGCACACAGCGCCATGCCAGCTAATTATAATTTTTATTTTTGCAGAGATAGGGTTTTGCCATGTTGCCCAAGCTTGAACTCCTGGGCACAAGTGATCCACCCGTCTCAGCCTCCCAATGTGCTGGGATTGTAGGTGTGATCCATTATGCTCGGCCAGGATTCACCATTTCTAATGTGTGACAGGTAGTAAGCTACGACACTCCAGCACTTGGTTTGGCAATTACTCACATGGGACAAAAGAACCATATGATTACCTGATAGCCTTCTGTTTTCTTCTGACACCACTTTAGCAAGGCATTCCTCTTTGATCCTCCATATTCTCTGGCCAATGCTGAGAGAGGGTCTTTCCTTTCTTCTCTGAAAACAAGTAACCCAAAGTTGAAATATTTTTTGTTTGGGCACCAGAATAAGAGAACAGTATTAGTTTGCATTTTTAAACAGGAGAAATGCACATAGTAAGGAAAATAGAAAGGCAAGACATATTTTTTCATACATCTGATTTTTAGTTTATGGCCCCATAGATCCACTGTTGTCAGAATTCTCTGCTAACTGAAGGGAGGGACTCTATAATCATCACCCACATGGAAAGTGGTAAAGATAGTACAAAGCGCATTTAAAATTAATCAAATGTGTTAGGCATGGTGGCTCACGCCTGTAATCCCAGCACTTTGGGAGGCCAAGGCAGGCTGATCACCTAAGGTCAGGAGTTCGAGATCGGCCTGGCCAACACTGTGAAACCCCGTCTCTACTAAAGATACAAAAATTAGCTGGGCATGGTGGCAGGCGCCTGTAATCCCAGCTACTTGGGAGGCCAAGGCAGGAGAATTGCTTGAACCCTGGAAGTGGAGGTTGCAGTGAGCTGAGATTGTGCCACTGCATTCCAGCCTGGGCAACAAGAACAAAACTATCTCAAAATAAATAAATAAAATAACTGTTAATGCTCTTTATCATCTCATCATTTAAAAAACTACTTTCTATAAATATACAGGGCAAGGTTATACAAGTTGTCGGACTCTAAAGCATAACAGTTCTTGCCTTCAAGGAGTATACAATGGGGGGAAGCAGATGAGACAGACAAAAGATGGCAATAAACAGCTGACAACATTTATAGCTTCCATGAAACGTCTTAGATGTGTTTAATGCTAATTGTACATAGTTTTTTGACTGTAGGCAGTTAGAATTTTACCTTGCTCAAAAATTGAATTCTTTGTAAACTTACTTATTCAACATCTCCTTATGGAGCACCACTGTGCCAGGCAATGTGCAAGCACTAGGCAATTGAACAACCCAGGACCTCCACCCCCTCAAGGAACTTCAGATAGTAAGTAGAAACACTGTAGAAGTTTGGGGGGTTAAAATTCAGTGGCTATACATATGATTCATTGAAAAAAATTCTATGTAGGGTACTTTATGACATTGCCAATTGCCTTGTAGTCAAAATAAATAACCTGCCTTAGGCCGGACATTCAATCAAAAAAGGTTTTGCAATCACCCCTGGTGAAGGGGCAGGAGAGAATTACAATCCTACTCATTCTGCACCATATCTTCCCTTTTGGTCACTACTTTGGAAGTGAAACAGAACACTAACAAATACCCAGAGAAAGAAAGTGCTGTGTAATATAACCTGCAGCTTCACTAGTAGTCTGTGCTTAAAAGATTGGTGATTTTCAGTGATTATAGCAAAGTGGAGACTCTAGTCCCATGTTCTGTGAACTTAGCAGCCCAATAAATATCCTAAAGATTCGTATGTTGGCCAGGTGTGGTGGCTCACAAGGTCAAGATATCAAGACCATCCTGGTCAACATGGTGAAACCCCGTCTCTACTAAAGACACAAAAAATTAGCTGGGCATGGTGGCGCGTGCCTGTAATCCCAGCTACTCAGGAGGCTGAGGCAGGAGAATTGCCTGAACCCAGGAGGTGGAGGTTGCGGTGAGCCGAGATCGCGCCATTGCACTCCAGCCTAGGTAATAAGAGCGAAACTCCGTCTCAAAAAAAAAAAAAGATTCGTATGTTACAAGCAGCTTAGTATTCCTCAGTACATTTATTCTGTTAGTATTCACCCTCCAAAGGATGCTAGGAAATCAAAGAGGGTACATTTATAACAGAAGCTTTTCTAATTGAGGAGCCTTGAAATAGTACCAACTTTTATTTATCTAAAAACCAAAAGCAAAAATACTATTTTTCTATGTTCAGTTAGACTGCCTTCTTGAAGAAACATACATTTTTGTGTGCCAGCCCATAAGATTCCTGCTTTGCTTTAAATAAAGTAGGGATGTTCAATCTTTTGGCTTCCTTGGGCCACAATGGAAGTAGAAGAATTGTCTTGGGCCACACGTAAAATACACTGACACAAACAATAGCTGATGAGCATAAAAAAAAAAAATCTGCAAAAGAAATTCTCAGAATGTTTTAAGAAAGTTTACAAATTTGTGTTGGGCCGCATTCAAAGCTGTCCTGGGCTGCGGGTTAGAGAAGCTTGCTTTAAGGGATTCCAGGAAGTTTGTTATACTATCACTAAACACAGGGAGAGAGAATGACACGGTTATGTGAATGGATGCAAAAAAGCACGCCAAAAACAAACAAAACTTGTCATGGCTCAACATAAAAGTCAGTATTATAATAAATGGGAAACGTTTACTTTGGCTCACATGGGGTCCATTTTGTTACAGAAACAGCTTAAAAAGCATCAAAGTAGAGCAAACTCTATGGACATAATGAGAAGCTACAAAAAAGCACCCCTAGGAATGGAGGATCATCTTTCACTTCTTCATTTTGAGGTGAGAAACTGAAGCCAGGAGACACCTTGTTGAAGATCAAAGCTCCTAAGTGGAGGAGGCAGGAGGAGTGTGTGTCCTGTCTCCCAAACCAGTGCCCTCTGCACAAGCACCATGCAGGGAGCTCATCACCCAGGACACAGAGAAGAGCACTGCCAGTCTTTTCCCTGCATAGGCAGGGTGGCCTGAGCTAGCCCTCTCACTCGATTTTCTACCTGCTCCCCTGGGGCACTGCTTACCGGACCACAATTCTAAAAGGTTGGCTCCCTTAGAAGCATGGCTTTATAGTAAGTGGATAATTTTAGTTTGAAAGGCAAAATATTTCATTTTATCCTCAAGACTATAATATATGAGCTAAACTTCTGCCACTCATTCCTATCCTTCCTTCTTTTTATTTTTTGAGACAGAGTCTCGTTCTGAAGCCCAGGCTGGAGTGCAATGGTGCGATTTTGGCTCACTGCAACCTCTGCCTCCCGGGTTCAAGCAATTCTAGTGCCTCAGCCTCCCAAGTAGATGGGACTACAGATACAAGAAACTATGCCTGGCTAATTTTTGTATTTTTAGTAGAGATGGGGTTTCACCATGTTGGCCAGGCTGGTCTTAAACTCCAGACCTCAAGTGATTCACCCACCTCAGCCTCCCAGAGTGCTAGGATTATAGGCATGGGTCACCACACCTGGCTGCTTCCTTCAATTTTTCTTAATGCTTGCCAACAGTTTTCTTCATCCCTATAAACAATGTATGCTAAATTTTTGACATCTGTTTTTCCCCCTAAGTTCTTAATACCTCTTAGTCCAAAGAGGCTTCAGACATAAGAGAACTATGAATAAACTATAAACTTAGGCCAGGTGTGGTGGCTCACACCTGTAATGCCAGCACTTTGGGAGGCTGAGGTGGGCGGATCACCTGAGGTCAGGAGTTCCAGACCAGCCTGGCCAGCATGGTGAAACCTCATGTCTACTTAAAAAACACACACAAAAAGTTGGCCAGGAATGATGGCTGGCACCTGTAATCCCAGCTACTCAGGAGCCTGAGGTAGGAGAATCATTTGAACCTGAGAGGCAAGGCTGCAGTGAGCCAGGATCGCGCCACTGCACTCCAGCCTGGATAACAAGAGTAAAACTCTGTATCGTGTGTGTGTGTGTGTGTGTGTGTGTGTGTGTGTGTGTGTGTGTACACACACACACATACACATTCTTAGATTTTCATGTACTTTTTAATCAATTATTAATGTAGCACCAGGTTCCCAGACTCCCAGTGTAAACAAAGAGAGCCATCTTTGATATCTTCCATTCTTGCATTCTTTTTATAAAGATCTGAAATCATCTTTCTTTATGAAAAACCTCCTGGGTCCAACCCTCTCTTCACCTCTTTTCCACTGTTACCACACTGGCCCAGACATGATAATTTATTTACACTACTTTATAGCTTCTACTACATCAAAGTGACTCAATTTGACTTTAAAGAAGTTCCATCACTTTGCCATCCCCTACCTAGACAATCTTTTATTCTGCTGTTCCCTGATACGGTAGGTAGACCTTCCTCTGGACTTCTGTAACAGGCCGCTCAATCTGTAGAACCACCAACCTACAGCATCCCCCTCCAGACTCCTTACTTATTCATTCCTTTTGTATATTCCCTCAAGTTTCTGACCTTGCCAATAATGTCACCCAGCCCTCCCTGTCTACAATATTCAAGGCCCCACTCAAATTCCAACCTTCTGGAACGCCTTCCTTAACACTCCACCCATTCGTCAGTATTTAAATTTCACAATACTTTCTTTTGCACTCAACTATTCTCTGATTTAAAAAAAAAGAAACAGTTGCTTAGGGAAAGGAACTATCACTTTTACTTTGTCAGTCTTCTATATCATTCACCCAATAAGAAATATTAGTAAACCACACACAGAAAAAAAAAAATCACAATGCTCAAATGCCATCATTTTACAACTTGATCATTTACTATCAAAAGGCCAGGAAAGGAGGGGAACGATCCAAGATGGCCGATCAGTAACAGCCCGGGATTGCAGCTCTCAGTCAAAGCGCAGAGAACTAGAGGACGCCACACTTTCAGACAAATTCTGGTCGCTCACGGAGCAGAAGATCCCCCAGTGGAGGAACCACACGGGTCACCAGCGCGACACTTGTGGCTGGCGCAGCGGCTTCGCAGGCACCTCAGCACGGCAGCTCTCGGAGCAGAGTAAACAGGGCGGGCTCCCCTTCTGACCGAGGTTTGGAGGACCCACATGGGTCCCCAGCATGACTCCTGAGACCGGCGCAGCGGCTGTGACGGCACCTCAGCGCGGCAGCTCTCCGCGCAGAGTAAATGAGACTGGTTCCCCTTCTGACCGAGGTTTGGAGCCCCGGGAAGGCAGAGTCGCCCATTACGGACACAAGAAGGAAGCCAGACAGGAGAATCCTGGGCAGAAAAGCACCATCAGTCTTAACGCTGCCATTCTGGCCCTGGGAACTAACAACTTGGACATCCAATCAAGAGACCTAATCTGAAAGTTGGTAATTTCAAAGGCGACAAGAGGATAAATATACAATGATGGGAAGAAACCAGCATAAAAAGGCTGAGAATACTCAAAATCAGAACGCCTCTCCCTCTAAAGATGATCACAGTTCCACATCAACAATGGAACAAGGCTTGATGGAGAACGAGCGCATCCCAATGACAGAATCACTCTTCAGGGAATGGATAATAAGAAACTTCTGTGAGTTAAAAGAACATGTTGTAGCCCAACGTAAAGAAACTAAGAACTTTGAAAAAAGGTTTGATGAAATCCTATTGAGAATAGACAACTCAGAGAGGAATATAAGTGAATTAATGGAACTGAAGAATACAATACAGGAACTCCAAGAAGTATGCACAGGTTTAAACACTCAAATTGTTCAAGCAGAAGAAAGGATAACAGAGGTCAAAGTCCAACTTAATGAAAGAAAACAAGAAGACGAGATTAGATATAAAAGGATAAAAAGGAATGAGCAAAGTCTCCAAGAAATGTGGGACTATGTGAAAAGACCAAATTTACGTTTGATAGGTGTACCTGAATGCCACGGAGAGAATGAATCCAAGCTGGAAAATACCCTTCAGGATATTATTCAGGAAAATTTTCCTGAACTAGCAAAGCAGGTCAATATTCAACCCCAGGTAATACAGAGAACACCACAAAGATATTCCTCAAGAAGAGCAACCCCAAGGCACATAATCGTTGGATTCACCAGGGTTGAAAGGAAGGAGAAAATACTAAGGGCAGCCAGAGAGAAAGGTCAGGTTACTCACAAAGGCAAGCCTATCAGACTTACAGCAGATCTCTCAGCAGAAACTCTACAAGCCAGAAGAGAGTGGGGGCCAATATTCAACATCCTCAAAGAACAGAACCTTCAGCCCAGAATTTCATTATCCAGCCAAACTAAGCTTCACAACTGAAGGAAAAATAAAATCTTTTATGAACAAGCAAGTACTCAGAGATTTTATTACCACCAGGCCTGCTTTACAAGAGCTTCTGAAAGAGGCATTACACACAGAAAGAAACAACCAGTATTAGCCTTACTAAAAATATACCGAAAAGTAAAGAGCACCAACATAAAGAAGAATTTTCATCAACGAATGGATAAAACAGCCAGTCAACATCAAATGGCAGTAACCCTAAATTTAAATCGACTAAATCCCCCAATCAAAAGACACAGCCAAAAGCCAACGGCATGTTACATCCAGACCTGTTTCACATGCAAGGATACACAAAGACCCAAAACAAAGGAATGGAGAAAGATTTACCAACCAAATGGAGAGCAAAAATAAATAAATAAATAAAAAGCAGGAGTTGCAATTCTCGTATCTGATAAAATAGATATTAAAGCAACAAAGATACAGTGGTAAAAGGATCAATGCAACAACAAGAGCTAATGATCCTAACACCCAGATCCTAACATAGAGACTTAGATTCAATGAGACAGAAAATTAATAAGGATATCAAGGACTCGAACTCAGATCCGGAACAAGTAAACTTAATAAATATTTATAGAGCTCTCCACTTCAAATACATAAAATATACATTCTTGTCAATACCACATCACACCTACTCATAGGTTTAAATGAAACATTGATTGGCCATTATTAATACCCATTTTTTTTTTTTTTTTTTTTTTCAGAATAAAGCAATATTTCCATTCACCCTTCCTCTCTCTCTTCCTCTTTCTTTCTCTCCTTTACTCATTTTTTTTTCTTTCCTTCTCTCAAAAAAAGAAATCAACTTGTAAACCTCTAGATCCAGGTCGGCAATGTCTCTCTCATTGCTTGAATTCCTTCCTTCCCTTCCTTTCCCTCCCTCTTCCTCCCTCCCTCCCCCCTTCCTCCCTTCCTTCCTTCCTTCCTTCATCCCTTCCTTCCTCCCTCCCTTCCTCCTTCCCTCCCTTCCTGCCTTCCTCCTTCCCTCCCTAAAAAAAAAAGGTGATTAAAAAAAAAAAAGCCAGGAAAGATACACACAAAATGCAAGAATATTAACTGTTTTCTACCTTATTCGGCTTCGGGTGGTGGGAGTCACAGATGCCGTTGGAGAAGAGGATAGGGAAAGCTGTGGAGACGTGGTTCCCATAGCCATCAGAGAGGCTGGCGATGCTCCCTCCTGTGCAGAAATGTCCCGTTTCATTTCTTCACTACTTCGTCGAGACACTGTAAGAAATAGTCATTATGCATTTTATAGCAAAAACATTTTAGACTGCGTTCTTGAGATTTTTTCTGAAGATTCCAAAAAAGAACAGATATTACCATACAGGAGGAAAACTAACACTGATAACTGGAAAGTATTTCTTATTTTTCCATTAAAAAAACTGTGAGGCCAGGCACAGCAGCTCATGCCTATAATCCCCCCAACACTTTGGGAGACTGAGACAGGCAGATCACTTGAGGTCAGGAGTTCCAGACCACCCTGGCCAACATGGTGAAACCGTGTCTCTCCTAATAATACAAAAATTAGCCAGGCATGGTGGCGCATGCCTGTAATCTCAGCTACACAGGAGGCTGGGGCAGGAGAATTGCTTAATCCCAGGAGATGGAGGTTACAGTGAGCTAAGACTGTACCACTGTGCACTCCAGCCTGGGCGACAGAACGAGACTCTGTCTCAACAAACAAGCAAACAAACAAATACAACAACAAAAAAATGTGAAAAGATACAGTAGTTGAAATATGCATAGAGCTCCATATTCCTTACAGACAAGGAGTTTCCCTAATCCATCCCTATAACATTCATGGTACCTATTAAGCACATAGTGAATACTACACAAACATCTCTCTAATTACAAATACAACTAAAAACCAAAGGTTAATTATAACCAGATTTGTAACTACTGTGCCCTCAACACACACAATTCAAATCAACACAACCCTTCTGAATTTAGCCAAAAACACTGTTAAAGGGACAGAAAGGAAAGACATACTTCATTATAAGGCTACATGTAATCCTAGCTAAGGGCACTTTTCTTTTTTTCGTGAGGGAGTCTTACTCTGTCATTCAGACTGGAGTGCAGTAGTGCATCTCAGCTCACTGCAACCTCTGCCTCCTGGGTTCAAGCAATTCTCCCACCTCAGCCTCCTGAGTAGCTGGGACTACAGGCGCCTGCCACTGTGCCTGGCTAATTTTTGTATTTTTAGTAGAGACAGGGTTTTGCCATGTTGGCCAGGCTGGTCTTGAACTCCTGACCTCAGGTGATCCGCCCACCTCAGCCTCCCAAAGTGTTGGGATTATAGGCATGAGCCACCACACCCAGTCTCAGGGCACATTTGAAAAAAAAAAACTAAATCAATGAGACAGAAAACCAAAACGTATCAATTCAACTGTTGCGAAATATCAACAATCTTTTGGAAAACTCCTATTCTGAAGTTTGGCACAGTAAGACATTGTACCACCTTATTAGAATTACAAAATGTTCCAAGAACTGTTGAGTGGAAGTACCCACCTCAGCCACTGCTATCAGCTCCAGAACAGTAGCTTTCTAAAGGCGGCACTGACTATTGCCAGGTGCTGAGAATGTAGAGCTAAACACAGTGACAACAGACATAGTCGACAAAGTCCCTGATCTCAGATTCTTTCTCACCTCAGAAGAAGGTGGATCTGCAGGAGCCATTAACTCTCTCATTCCTGGGCTGATTTAACACAGTCAGTGTTACACATCAGTAATCCTTTTCCCCTGATAACTAAAAACTGTCCCACCCCACTGCCTTTACTGGCTAAAATTTCCTAATGATTTTAGGATAACCACAAGCAGAATATGTAACTCTGCATTAGTAAAGCAATGCCCTTAAAGATCCAGAGGCACAAATGCTTTCTTCTATTATATGATCTTCAAATGACATGCTTATATATTTCTGGCACAATTTATAATTATGGCTTTTTTTTTTGTTCAATGTCAGTTCTTCATAGACCTTTTTTTTTTTTCCAATTGAGAGCAGATACTGTTTATTAACTGACCAGCTTAGAAAAATAATCATGGGAGACACCTTAGTTCATTCTTCTAATAAGCCTGTTGATCTGATCCTCCCTGTTGCCTGCATCTCCACCTTCTACAACATGGGTGGTCTTTTTCTTCATTCCGCCCCGTGGAGAAGATAATTTAAAGGGCCACAGGAAGTTATTTGCTTCTTTGAAGCGTTTTCCAACAGTATAGAGCTCATGAATCAGATCCTCCATGCAGATGATGCCATATTTTCCAAGAGATCGAGCAATCAGAGCGTTATCTGTCAAAGCAATTCGCTTCTTTTTGATCTTGCCATAACCACGTTTGTAGATTAGTTCATTTACTGACTTCAGATTTGGGTACCCCCATGTAATATATGGCTCTACGATCCTCAGCATGTTAACTGAAGCCTTGTTGAGCTTCACAAAGGTTCCATTGAAGATTTGACGACCGCAAAGAAGCTGCAACACCTTTCGGACCTTTGGGCTCACACCATTGATACCTCTGATCCTGATGACAAACACCAGTTTGGGTTCTGCAGGTACACAGAAGTTGCCAGCTTTCCTTGCCATCCTCACCATTCAAATTTCAGTTCTGTACATCTGCTATATTCCTTGTGAAAATGCTTCGCTTTTTCATAGATAAGCTTCCTCCTTGCCTTTCGAAGCATCTTTTGGACAAACTTCTTTCTCAGGCGCTTGATCTTCAGCTCTGAGAAATTCCTTTGCTTTTTCTTAAGGGTTTCCGGCACAGCAGGAACCTTCTTCTTCTTCTCTTCTACACCCTCCATGGTTCCAGCCGGAAAAAGAGGTATAGTCCTTAAATCAGTAGTTTCTTTTAAGTGGTGTGCTAGGAAACTGGATGAGAAAATCTCTCAGAACTTTATATAAAATAGAGGAAACAGACTGAGAAAGAATCTGGAGCGTGCGCGCGCGCACACACACATACACACACACACACACGCAGAAAAAGGCTTTCGGATGCTAATTTTAGCTAATCACAGGACTTCCCATTGATTTAAAGCCCAGCTAGAGAGAGCGCGGTGGCTCACGCCTGTAATCCCAGCACTTTGGGAGGCCAAGGTGAGAGGACAGCTTGAGGCCAGGAGTTTGAGACCAGCCTGGGCAACACAGTGAGATACTGTCTCTAAAAAACAAAAAATAAAAAAAATTTTCAGAGGAAAGTCATCACCTGAGAGGGTCTTGGCACTTTCCATTGCAGGCACTCTCGGGAGGGAAGCAGGCCGGCTGGTTGAAGATGTTCTCAGCAGATGCTCTGTACAAAGTAGAAAGGATCCTAATAAAGAAATCTGATGCTGAACTTTAAAGTGATAAAGGTAGAAAAAAGGTGAGTTTTACTCCTTTCAACCTTAAAGCTCTTCCTTCTTCCCAATGCAGGGAACTTCAACAATTTCCCATAGTCTGTTTATCCAAAACAACTAATGTATACACAGAACACAGTAGAACATTCCATTCAATGTTTCACCTCTAGGAATGAGATGCCCCATACAGACAAATACTTCTAAATCCTGGGCTGCCACTTACCTGTCTGATGCAACTCCACCAAAATCAAAGATCCTTTACTGCAACTACATCTAAGCTACAACTAAATAAAAGCTTTGCCTTCATGTGCCTACGGTTAGTGTGGAAGCTACACATATTAATATATACAACCATAGACAAGTCAGGATGGGATAAATAGAGTCACAGAATGATAAAAGTATTATCAAACAGAGGAGAAGACATTCCCTTTGATTTCAGGCAGCAGGGAAGACTTCAAAAAAACCAATGACATTAAGTAAGCTGGGCCTTACTGAAAAGAGGTGGGGAACTATATGTTAGTCAACAACAATCAGAGAAAGGTAGAAAGACATTCAAGTTAGAGAATAATAAAGGCCAAGTATGGCTAAGACATAGAGATATATGGAAAACAAACAAGGCAGCAGGGAATGGGGCTTTAAAGGAGGATGAGGCTGATTAAGGAAAACCTTCATTACCTGGCATGTGGACTTTAGTCTGAGGGCAACAAGAAAGTATCAAAGATTTTTGAGGCTTCAGGGAAGGACACAATCAGGTACTCCTTCGACTGTCTCCATTTGCAGCCTCACCTTGTTCTATTCCTCTCTTGTTTTCTAACCACAAACTGTCTTGGGAGTTCCTTCAGTTTCTTGAGCATTAGCACCAGCTGCCCCCTAGGCTCCTCCTCTATTCCCTCCTAATACTGGTTAACTTTATCATCCTTAAGGTATCAGTTCACTTCCCCGGGACCTGCTTCCCCACCAGCACCCACCAAACACAGAAGGAGTTGCCCTGTTCTCTTCCTGCACAATTCTTACCTAAGGCTACAGCCCGACAAGATAGACTCCTCAGACCAGGACACAGGGAGGCAGTCACGAGGACAACCAGAAGTGTTCCTTCTGATCAGGGTCTGGCTTGTGACTAGGCTTTCCCTTAGCCTAATCACACGCCAGACCCTGATCAGAAAGAACAAATCTGCCCAGAAGCACTTGTTGAGTCTGTTTCTTACTGCATGTCTAGGGATCCAAGTCTGCCTCAATTTGACAGACTGTCCCTGTCATAGCCTTGTACTAGCTTTCTGAAAATACTCAAAAATGTACTGAGAACCCAAATAGGTTATTCTTTTAAAAATTATTTGTGTTACATTTTAACAGCCACAATCCAGGCTGCTGCCATGTCATGAAGTAGTTCCACTGTGAGAATCAAATCTGCCCAGAGGCACTTGTCACAGTAAGAACACAGGGCCATTTACTATTCTAGTAAGTAGGCTGGTTTCCATGTTCATGTCCAACTGTCGGTTTATCCCTCTTGAGGAAATAAGATTAGTCTACTACAACTGAGTGTAGCAGGCAGGAGATACTGTATTTACAGTAACAGATTCTATTCTGTTGCCACATGGAGCTATTCTTGTCTTTAATCCATTCATTAAACAAAAATCATCTGAGTGTCCACTACTTGCCATGCACTTGGCTTGGTGCAAAGGTCAGAGAAAAAAAGAAAGGAGACAGGAAACTTGCTCTCGTGGAACCTGGAGTCTAGAGCAGTAACAAGCATTCAAAAAGTCATTATGAACGAGTAATGCTAAGAAAGAACAAGTACCGGGGTTCTGGGAACATAGCGGCAATGTAACCTGGTCTTGAGGGGAGAACAGGAAAGACCTCCTCAGGAAATGACAGCAAAGTTGAGACTAGAAGGATAATTAATAGTCTTTCTGCAGGCAAACGAGAGCTTAGAAGAAAAAGAATGTTCCCAGCTGAGTGCTTAGCATCACCTCAAAGAAATCGAGGACACTGTGGTGATGTTCAGAGGGAGGGGAAGAGCAGAGCGAGGTAAGCCTTCAAAGGTAGGCCAGAGGGCCAGCTCAGGCAAGCATGAGTCATGCAGGCAAACTCCAGGGTAAGGTATCTGGACTTTAGTTGGCAAAGGGGAGCCAATGGAGGTTTTATCACGTTAGCATTTTTCTGGCTGCAGCAGATTGGAGAGGGGTAATGGTTTATACAAGACAATGAGTTACAGTGTGGAGGTAAGAGATGATGGTGACTTGGACTTGGGTGGTACCAAGTGAGTACGTGATGTAAACAGAGTCAAGGGCTCTTTGATGCAGCAAAATCAACAGACTTGCCGACAGATGGATGTGAAGGTAAAAAGGAAGGAGGTACCACATACAGAGGTAAGAAAGGTGAGGAAGATTATGGAAGAGTTGTGAACACACTTAATTTGAGAACTGAGATACCCAGGGAAAGATGTGGTCCAGGCAATGAGAGAGAGACAGTGTAAAAGAAAGTCTGAAGTGAATATACTGTTTTGAAAATTTTCAGCACATAGGTGATGGGGTGGGAGTGTACTTGGTGACATGGAGGTTACTGGTAATCTTGGTCAGAGAAATTAATTCAATGACAAAAGTAAGATGAGAACGTGGTGGGGAGGGAGTGGGACATATAAAAGATACGGAGATAAATTGAGCAAGGTTGTAAGGAAGAAAGTATAGTAGCTGGTGGACAAGAAAAGGAGGATCTTTTTCTTCTTAATGAAGAAAAGATGTATTTTTTTTTTTTTTAATTAAAGATGGGGTTTCATCATGATGACCAGGGTGGTCTTGAACTCCTGACCTCAGGTGATCCACCCACCTCGGCCTCCCAAAGTGCTAGGATTATAGGCATAAGCCACCGCGCCAGGCCGTAAAGATTATTTTTAAATGACAGAAAGGAGCTAGCCAGTAAAGAAGATAAAGTTGAAGATATAGGAGAAGGAAATAATCAATCAAGAGCATAAGGTCAACAGCACCTGAGAAAGCCCAAGAGGAGGAGATCCAGGGCTCAGATAAACGGATAAATGGATAAACCTAAACAGAGATACATTCTGATTACTTCAGACAGATACGTAACATGGGAGTCCCAGGTCTGCTAGTTAATTCTAATTGCAGAAATAAACAGGTACAGGTAGTTGTCCCTTTACTGTTTCCCAAATCAAAGTTATCGGCAAAATAGGTTTTAAAATAGAAGCTTTTATTGATTGAGGCCAAGTGGCGCAGCTAAAATTTGGTAGAGAAACCCAGTCCTACTGTCTTGAAGAACCAGAGGACACATCCTGAGACAACCACAGCTATTGGAAAGTGAGGGTGTAGGGAAACTACCAGAAAGGAGGAGCCACCAAAAAGGAGCCAACAGTTTGTATATAAACTCTGTCCAAATCCTTCACTGACTTCTGAAGTCCACAAGCACTCATGCTCCAAAAAGCTGAATTAAGGATAAAATAACCAAACAGGTATTTCAGCTGCAGGGAGAGTTTGGAGTCTGAGGTGAGTTAACTGCTAAAACAAAAACCAATACTTTGCCGAGGAATGTAAAAGAATCAAGACTCAGCCAGGCGTAGTGGCTCACACCTGTAATCCCAATACTCTGGGAAGCTGAGGCAGGAAGACTGCAGGAGCCCAGGAGTCTGAGACCACCAGCTTGGGCAACAGAGCAAGATTACATCTCTACAAAAACATTAGCTAGACATGATGGTGCACACCTGTAGTCTTAGCTACTTGGGGACTGACACGGGAGGGCAGCTTGAGCCCAGGAAGTCAAGGCTACATTGAGTTAGGATTATACCACTGCACTCCAACCTGGGTGACAGAGTGAGACCCTGCCTCAAAAAACAAACACACAAAAAACCTCTAAAATATGTGATTCTTATGCCCAAGACACAACTCAAAATTACTAGACATACAAAGAAAAAAGAAAGTGAGTCATACTCAAAAGAAATGGAAACCTACCTGAAGATGCTACGTGCTAGAAATGGCAGAAAATAACTTAAAAGCAGCTATTAGAAATATGATCAATGTTATAAAGGAAAATATGCCCTCAGTGAATGAACAAACAGGAAAGCTCAGCTGAAAGCACTGTAAGAGGGTAATAAAGGCTTTCTCAATGAGATAAAATGCAAAGGACTGCCTAAAACTGAAATTGGAATAGGCATTAAGAAAAGCCCTCTGGAAAACTATTTCCCACTCTAAACACAAAGTATTAGTGGAGACACTGGAAGCCTGTTCTGCACTGAAGGTAATTACAGCAACAACAAACCTCAAACCCAGCCCAGCTCCTGAGCAGATTAAGTCGAACTCCCACATTTAAAGACCTAAGTAGAAGAAAAGAGGTGTCCATTTCAAGGCATAAAATCTATCTACTGTCCATATAAGATGTCTTAGCTTTCAATAAAGAATTGTAAAATATACAAAAAGCAGAAAAAGCCAACATACCCAGCTCACTACACCAAGACACAAAGTAATCAATAAAAACCCAATGACACAGATACTGGAACTATCTACAGAGCATTTACAATAACTATGATTAATATATCATTTTTAAATAAAATTTTATAGAGATGAGGTCTCACTACGTTACCCAGGCTACTCTTAAACTTCTGGGCTCAAGCAATGTTCTTCCCTCAGTCTCCCAAGGTGCTGGGATTACAGGCATGAGCCAGTGTCCAGCCTCAGCCTTAAAAAGAAAGGAAACTGGCCGGGCGCGGTGGCTCAAGCCTGTAATCCCAGCACTTTGGGAGGCCAAGGTGGGTGGATCACGAGGTCAAGAGATGGAGACCATCCTGATCAACATGGTGAAACCCCGTCTCTAATAA